CCTCTGCTTGCCACCCTTTCCGCAACGGGCTCCCTTAGAAGCTGAGATTCGATTCAAAAAGGCTACGCGGCTAATGCATTCTGAAATAAAGATGAAATCGTGTATTTCGATTGAAGATAGAACGCACTTACGTAATTTTAACTAAACTAGCAGCGTCAAGAAAACATAAGACAATATCATCTCTGCACTTATCATTCAACCTGCACCTATATTTTTCGAATAAATATTCCAATGCTTCACATCTGACAGCTGACAGCTGGACTTCATTCACAATCATTCGAAATAGGGCCAATTAATTAATATTTCGTGAGCTTATGTGAATATTAGATCGAACTGAAACCGTAGTCACAGGACTAGAATATTACACGCGAGAACAAGCCATTGAAAGAAATAACGCGTATTTTCGTTTTTTTTTTTTTTTTTTTTTTTTTTGATAACAGTTCATAGAGAAGTGTGTGGTAACCCGATTTATTATTAATAAAAAGGTTTAATGAGAAAAAGGGTAAGAGTCACGACCAAAACGATTCAATTAATAGGTGTATAAATAAATTTCTTCCGTTTTTTGTTCTTTTCTTTTAAATATTCTTATTATAAAGCTTAATAATCGCAATACGCGTAACCAATATCTATGGTCTTTTGCCGTGTATCGTCTAGCGCATGGATGCTCTTATGGTGTAAAGTTGCTGGTTTGCAAGGGAAATGGTCATCGATTCATTTTCGCATATCTTTAACTTGTGTAAATCGATGACTTGCTAAATATGATTACATTAATCTCAGCAGGTGGTAATCAGGTCAGGTCAGGTCAGGTCTGGAGGATAACCGAATGCGGTAAAACTTTCCAGCCTATGCTGAAAATTATTTCCTTATTGTTATTGGGATGAATGTATACGAATTTCATCGTTTTCAAGGCAACAACAATTTTTTGCCCAAAATATCGCAAATCATCTTTAGTGCGATTTCAGTCGAAACTAATTTAATGCATTTCCATAAATGACACCCATCTCCTTAATCTTTCACTAACCGACAACCTTGTAAATAACTGAAACATTGTTTGTCGTTCAAATAAATATCAATATTGAAGTTATCGCTAACTAGAATTTTCGTGAAACTTGAACGGCCCAAGCGCATTTTATGAAACGACAAATTTTAATGCAACAAATTTATTTGTACATCTAATCTTATGTAGTCACAGTCCTTCATTTCCGATCTATCAAATTATTGTATATTCTTTTCTCAAAGTTAAGACTTAACGTTGATTTTAATTTCAATTATTACTATTTATTAAAAAAAAAGGTCCATTCGTTGTGTTTTTGTACTGAAAACCCAACTTCAACTAATCTCTAATTTTTGGCCATAATTCAAATTTGAAAAAAAAAATAAAAATAAAATTTTTTTTTCTATCATTCATTATCTAATTCGATTGATTAGCAAGATAGTTAATGATAACTTAAAAATTTTCCTTTGTGAAGCTAAGAAGAGAACGACACGACATTTACTTGAGTTGAGTTGAGTTGAGTTTAGTTTTGTGTTCTAATCAATTGGACCTTATTATGGAAGAAGTAGTGCAATAATAAACTTACCGTTCTTAATAAAAGGCTAAAGAAATTTATATATATATATATATATATATATATATTTATATATATATATGTATATATACATATATATATATATATATATACATAAACAAATCATCCACAATATAATGCAACACAGATGATGTTGAACATCAAAATCGCTAACGGTTTCTATTATATATATATATATATATATATATATATATATATATTTCCAATCTGCTCTTGATTTTCTCTTTGTCGTTGTTGTTGTTGTTGTTGTTGTATCTTCTTCTTCTTCTTCTTGTTCTTATATAAATTCCTATTTATTTATAAAGCAGCAAGCATTTCGTTTGTTTATCTTTTGTTTTTTTTTTTTATTTAAATTTTAAATTTATTGGCGAATTTAAGCGAGCATTGAGATGACTTGATTTAAGAGCTGATCTTAAAGGCTCTGCAGAACTTTTAAAAAGTAATTTACTATAAAATATATAGTAGTTGTAGATGTTGTTGTTGTTGTTGTTGTTGAATTTGTGGCTGATGATGAAGTTAATGATGATGATGATTTTGGTATCAATCCTTCTTTATTTTTTATATATATATATTTATTTTTTATTTTTTTATATTTCTTAAAATATATATATATATATATATATATATATTTTTTTTTTTTTTTTTATTTTTTTTATATACTTCCACGATATTCTGAAGGTGGTCGCCTTGGTTTATGCGTTTTATTTTTTATTTTTCTTCTTGTTGTTGTTTCTGTTGTTTCTGTCGTTTCTTTTTTTATTTTTTTTATTTTTTATTTTTTTCTTTTTTTGCCGAAGATAGCTCCGAGAACTGCTGTTATATGATAATATTTATTGCAAATATTATTGATATTATTTTGTAAACACTTTAAGCTTGCTGTTCAACAGGAGGGAAAGCCTGATAAGCTGCTAGACCTTCGTTGAAAGTGGCAAAGGCAAGATTTGTGTCTACTGTAAAATGTGCAACAGCAGGAGATAAAGGTTTTGCGTAATTTCCAGTTGTCGTTACAGTTACGAATGCATTGCCGTCAGTTGTCATATTTATTGTAACACTATCTGGACCATTGTACCACAATTTTAGAACCAACATTTTTCACGTATTCGATATTATTTCAAATGGGGAAAAATTTTCCAGTTTCGTTTCGTTTCGTTTCCCAATTCCAAGTGAACCTTGAACCGCTTAAAGTTTTACTTTACTTTGCGGCAGCTTCACACGCTTCTTTTTTGATTCTCCAAAACCAATTAAATTATATATATATATATATATTTTCTCATTAACGTTGCTAAGGAGGCCTGGTAATCGTTTCTTATTATTTCTTATTTAAATGGGGATGATGGTGGTAGTTATGTTGGAAGTAGTAGTGGTAGTGGTTGTGGTAGTGGTGGTGGTGGTTGTGGTGGTGGTGGTGGTGGTGGCTGTGGTGGTTGGTGGTGTATAGCAGAAATGAGAGAACTCCTTGGGGGATTTATTCAAACTTTCAAATATTAAATCAAATTCTCAAAACATTAAAAAATTCAACTGAATTAAATGGAAAAAGTGTTGTTGTGGCGGGACTTTAGGCTTCCATTATTTAAATAGGTTAGAATATGTTCTCCTATAATCAAAGAAAAATCCAACGTTATGTTAACGTAATTATGCTGCTCTGTTTGGTCAGTAGTTGCATTGCTTGACTGTTGCAAAGCTATTAGTGTTTCTTTAGATGGGCCAATAAATCGTGAATTAGGATATTAGGATTTCCGTTGATCTTGGTAAAAGAAAATTTCCAAAAAATTTTTTTCGATAAATTACGTTTAAAAAAATTTGAAGGAATATTTTATAATCAATAATAATAATAATAACGAGATGTTTGTTATTACAATATGACGGCGTTGCAGTGGTAGTAGTGGTAGTAGATGTTTGTAAAATCCTGTTTTTAATTTCCTTTTCCTTTAAGTTTTTAAATTATATATTCAACAATATTTCATTTCTCATTTTTCGGAATCGCTTTGCAATTTCTCTCTTTCCGTTCCTTTCTTTTTTGCTCTTCCTCTTCCTCTTCCACTTCCTCTCTCTCTCTCTCTCTCTCGCTCTCTTTCTCTTTCTCGTTCTCTCTTTTCCGCTTTCTTAGCGAGTATCGTTGCTTCTCTCACTTGCCCTTGATTTATACTTTCGCACTCATATTGATGATCTGCTTCTTTTTCTCTGTGTGCAGCGTTTGTATCTCTCTCTCTCTCTCTCTCTCTCTCTCTCTCTCTGAGCTTAACTTTATTTTATTCAGTGTTTAGTAACTGAATTCTTGAAGAAGAATTATTTCACACTTTTGTTTCAATATTGAATCTTTTTACAGCTTTTCAAATTTCTGCAAGAAAATTAAATTGAAAAGTACCCAAAATTAATAATTGCAAGAAAAATGCTTTCGAATATTATTGAGAGATTGTTCTTAAAAATAAGTAAAACGAATATGCAACATTGCAATACATTACTACTCTACTACGCTACACTACGTTAGCAGCAGACTCATTCATATAATGGGAAGAGGTCGAAAAAAGTGATTCGATTCATCTTTCAGTCAGTATGCCTAAAATAAAACACAAGATGACAAACAGACGGACAAGCTTAAATTGTTCCAGAAAGTGATTTGGACACGTTTGAGTTTCTTAAACGATCTCAAATCCTTCTGCTATATACTGCATACATCCGCACAAACTTAATACACTCTTGTACACGCAATTGATGTAAAGTATAAAAAATAATAGAAATTTATTGCACTTGAAAACGAGATTTTGATAACCTTTTCGCCTTTCGTTTGAAAAGTTCTTTATATTACTTGATGGGAAAAACGATCGAATCGATAAAGCCCCACACACAGTATAAGTAAGTTTGATCTACGCATTAAATCCGGGCTACTCGGTCTATTTGCGGTTAGAAAATATAACGTATACGTAAAGTAGTTAGTTAGCTTACGGGTCAATATCGGAGACGCGTGTAATGTGTATCCTTTAAAGCCCTTTAACTTGCATTGTCATGCAAACAATTGATCTAAAACTTAGTATAAATGTCTGCTGTAACTACTATTCTTAGGAAAAAAAATAAATAAAAAATAAAAAATACAATTCCTAACATATAATAATTTAAGCCTCACTATTACGGATACCCATCAGTAATCAATTATGTGCAAAAAATTTGTTTCGCCTTTAGTTCTGTGCCGATCTTTGAACTCGTAAAACAAACGTACCCTTTCTTTTACAGTTTTCGGTTAAGCAAACAGTGCTCAAAATATTCCAAAGGGCATAATTTTCTTTTGACAGCTTCCCGCAATAAAATGACGACGTTCATGCCTTCCGAGAAACAGCTCGACAGTATGTATAGAGATGCATTAAAGATCAGTCAACAATAAATGTCAATGTTATTTGAAAAGAAGACGAAGAAGAAGAAGAAAATAATAATAATAATAATAGTGATCTCTCTGACAAGCTTCTTAGCTGAGCCCAAATCGCGAAACCTTAGATCCACCACATTGTCAACTATACAAACGCACATACATGATAGGCTAGGAACATGGCCACCGATCAATAAACATATTCGTCGATCAATTTACGCTTCCAAGGTTATCCAGATTTCGTAAAGATCTGTTTCTTAGCCAGAATAGTTATCGGAGGTGAAAAAATAGATTCTTTATGATAGATTCTTTAGGAACATAACAGCATTTGAAGAGGCAATGGCTTCTGGCAAATAAAAGCGCAATATCAAATCCCGAAATCTACATTATCAAGGAAACGCCTTGAGTCATATTTTTCTTCATAAACCTTACATTTCTGCAAGGAAGGAAATTTTAAAAATTTAGAGGAAAGGAAGCAATCTGTCGTTCGTAATGATGGCTGATGATGGCTGATGCAACAAATTAAGAAATATAAACTTAAATTTACTGCAAAGCTCATTTTAGACTTCAAAATTGTTAGTTACTTAGGCGTCCTCCAAGGAGTTTACCATGGATCATTTAAAATTTCGATCCTGCAGTGGCCACGACGTGATCAATCGAAAAACTCAATCAAGTGTAACTTATAATCTAGGACGGATGCAAAGATTGCTACGCCATCTAATTTGTGTAAACCGATCGTTTTCGACCGACTATGTAACGTCGTGTATCACTACAAGTTTTATACTTAAGGTGGGGCAGCTATGAGTATCATATGGATTCACCCAAAGGTGAATATTAGTAGGAGGCGTTAAGAGTTCAATCGGCAATCTTTCATATATTTTCATCATTTTTGGGAAGCGTAAAGCAAACACCAATGCCCAATATGGGCTTAATAACAAAAGCAACCGCAAGAACCGCAACTTGACTAATTGTTATATATGTGTAATGGATTTTTTTTGTTTAAAATTTAACTTTTCTTTCGTTTTCAATTTTCTCTAAGCTGAAGAAAATTTGACAAACTCACTACATATATATATATATATATATATATAGTGTCAGACTTGTGTTAGCATTTTCTAAACTCGAACAGATAATGAATCATAATCTGCATTATGTACTAGTCTTGTTTTTAAATATTGAAACCTTAAAAGCAAAAGCTAAAGAGAAAAATAACATACACACCGCTAAATGTGTTCATATCTGCCTATGTCCACATGTAATCTAATCAATAACAAATGCAATATGCTTTGAAAAAATATGAAAAAAATGAAAAAAATGAAAAAAAAAAAAAAACAGATGATAATTAATACAGACTACACAAATCCACATTCTCAGAATATGTAATCGTTTATTCTTCTTCATCTTCTTCTTCTTCGTTGCTTCGTGAAGGATTGCAAAAATGAGTTTTATAAATCTTTGCCGATTGTATTCAAATCTCGTAAATGCGAATGCCTCGGGAATTTTGATTGGAAATCTCTCCGATCTCTCCGAAGGATATTAAAAGGCCTCGCCTCCGCACACTGTTTTTAGAAATAAGAATAATGTCTCTCTAATCGGTTCAAATTAATTGAAATGAGTGATTGATCGGAGAGTTTGCTTCTGCCTCTTCTGCAATTCCTCACATTAACAATCGAAAATTCGCTGGAATGAAGGAATTGATGGGTGCAAGCGCATAAACGTGTAAAAGGGAGCAGGTTCATAAATTATAACTGTAAGCGCTTATATATTTTGATGATATAATTAAAAAAAAGAAAATATTGTGGACATAAGTTGTTTAAGTGCGAGAAGGTAAAATGTCAACAATGCTGTGGTCGCGAAGATCACATATATTCAGTTTGCGAAGTGTGGAGCGGCGAATAGAAGCGGTACGAACATTCGGACAGGCAAATAGGATATGATCAGGAGATGGTAAGAGTCCACAAGTGCATAAAGGATTGTTTACTATGTTAATTTTGATTAGATGATCATTACATCTCGTGTGATTGATCATCAGCCTGTTAATAAGACAAATAGTGTGACGTCGAAGTTCTCAATTGATAAGCGAAGAAGCTTTATTTATTTGACGAAATAAAGAATGTAAATGCCGATCATAAGGTGAAATAACAGGTGCGTCTATCTCAAGTTCTTCCGGATGACGCCTACATCCGCACAAACTAAATACGCCCTTCCATAATAAGTAGTGTAGTGCCTTAATTAAAAAAAAAAAAAAAATTGACTTTTTTTTTTTGTATATATAATTGATTTGGGAATTTCGGATCTTGATTCCCTTTCCCAAGAAAAGAAAAAACCTTTATATGGCAAAAAGGTTTAATTTTTTAATATTTCATAATAAACGTTGGCCCCTACTAGTAACTTGATATAGAAATTGCCTGCAGTAAATTTGGATAATACAGATCCATTTTTTTTGAGGTCTCACCTACATATTAAGATTGTTTTAAAAAGTAAGTCATATGTCTATATGGGTACGAAGTGTAATATTTTATGCTTTATAATGGAAAGAATCGAAGAATAGGAACCTAAAGGAGACAATTAAATTGGGTAAATTTGGATCATATTCTCATATGAGATCTCTCGCAAGCAAGGTACGATTTGATATAGAAACGCACTATAGTTTTTAGTACGAAACAAATGAAAAATTGTATAGAGCGAATTGAAATATTTAAGAGTATGTAATGCAGCGCTCTCGACGTTGCTCGGTTATAATGTTTTTATTTTATTTTTTATTTTTTTTAAACGATACAGCGATACGCTATATTTTTGGCAATTCGTCCTATCAAAGCTCTTCAATTATGAAGTAGTTATTAATGGTTGAGAACATATCGACAAAAAAAAAAAAAAAAAAAAAAAAAAAAAAAAAAAAGCGCGCGCAAATCATTTAATCTTGTATGCATGACAATTACTTGTACACCTTTTACAATCATACTAATTTCATCGATACTAATACTAATACTAATTTCACCTCGGAATGTCTTATGAGCAAAATATAAATCAATTTACCCGGTTCATAATGTTCCCGTGCGAATCAGATAGAAAAATGATACAATTAAGCGAATATAATAGTTGAACACTAGAAAATTTTCCCCTAAATTTTGAACGGAAGACAGAGAGACCAGAGAGACGTCAGAAAGGGGGATATCTTTCCGATCGATTCGCAGTTTGTTCCATCAAACGACTTACATGCAGATACGATAGTTTCGATTTACAGACCTGAGAATAATACTACTATAAGTGACATGAGTTCATAGAATAAACCGTATCAGGAAGATGACGCGAAAGCTTAATGACTTCACATAGCAGCACAGTTGCAAAAGCAAAAAAAAGCAAAAAATGGATGATTTCAACGGATTTTAACAAGTTCGGTCAGCTCCTGAAACGCAGGCGAAACGTTGTGTATCTTTGAAACAAATTGAACTAATTGGATTTTTCAAAGCTTCAAGGTTACATCGCAGCCCGCAAAAGGAGAGGAACGAGAATAGAATGTGGCAAGGAAGGCTAGACGAAAGCAACGAAGAACTCAAATATACATTTTGTGAATATACAATGATATATGTATATATATGTATATATTGTATATATATGTATACAATCGAATAATCGAAACGATTTTTGTTTTTGTTAATTTGCTTAAAGTTACAGTAAAACTCAATTCTTTAGGTAATCACACGCTATATATAGATAAGCAAAGCCATATAAAGAAATTGGATTTTAATCTTTCATTATATTGATTAATATTTCATATTCAACGTATGTATATATATGTATATGTGTATATATATATATATATTGAGTCGTCTTTGGCACACATTGAGAAGAAATAAAAAACGAGTCAGTGTCAGTGTAATATCAGAACTATTTAAGAAACGAGTCAGTGTCAGTGTAATATCGCGACCTATCCAAGAAACGAGTGCAAATAGTTAAAAGATTTCATTTATAGGCAAAGT